GTGGCTTTCACGTAATATGCAAATTAGATGTTTATTCTTAAATACTTTATTAGAATAGATAACTAATAATTTCGTATATTATAATGAAATGAATATATTATTCAAATAAAATAAATTTTTAGTGAAAATTCACTTTAACAGCTTCCTCAGCTCTCTTGTATCTGCTAAATTTCAAAGTTTTGCCACATAAAATATGCTTCAAATGTGAAAATTCTCATTTTACGTTAGTTAATCGCCTAATTAAGCTGAGAGAAAGAGAGAATGAGAAGGAAAAAGAGAGAGGGAGAGCAAGAGAGAGAGAAAGAGAGAGAGAGAAAGATGAATATTTTGCATTTTAAACTGGAAGCTTCTTTCCATATACGATTACTCACAACGGCCATATGGTAATTTCGACCACAAAAAAGGAGTTTTTTTTCTTTTTTCTTTGACCCTTTGAAGGCCTTCAAACACTCTTCGCAACAACATTGAAAGGAAAGAACGAATTCTCACAAACTTCCTTTCATAATGTCTTTTGTCCCATAGTCCCAACATACTTTTCTCTTTTAAATATAAATATTCGACTTTTTTCCAAACTTACCTCATGTTTGCCTTCATCAATTTCCCTTCGCTTCCTCTCTTAGCTTTTCTCACGTTTTTTTCACTTTCGCGGAAATTATGAAACGAATTATTCTTTTAAAATATCTTTGTTGGAGTGTATTCACTTGGTTACCTTCCTGTGCCTCACTTTCGCTCATTCTCTCACACCATTTCTGTTCGGATCGTAACATCAGCTTCTGATTGTTTATGCCATTGACTGCTTACTGTTCAGGAAGTAATTTCGTTTGAAGAGGCATTCTTTTGAAGACATTTGGTTAACGACAATGGCCATGACTTCTTCCCACGTACTCAGTCCAAATATGTAAGTTCAACCACATTAATAATTATATCAACAAATCGTAATGTTTCTTATTATAACATGTGATTAGCATAAGTTACGCACAACAACAGTCTATATATGATAATGCATAAACTGTTTTAATGAACTTAAGAGGATAAATAAAACCTTTTTTTGCGCATCATCAACATGTTCACACACACACACACACACACGCAAACTTTCTCTTTTCCTCTCTCTGTTGTTTCTTTTAAATATTTATTATAATTCTATGCGGCATTACCATTTAGTCCGTTTAGGTAACTGCTTCATGTGCATAAGAAGGATTATATATTTCTTTTTGCAAATAACTTCATTTGAATATTCAAATTTTACTTTTCATCAAAGCACTTTTCATCTGGCTTCCATGTGTTATTCACTGTCTGTCTCTCTATCTCTATCGTTGTGATCTAATAGTTGTTCAAATCAAAAGGTAATTAGCTGTTGACTCAATACATTCTCAACATTCCTCATCACCCACCATCTCTCCTTCCATCAACCTTTATAAATAATATTTAATTCCATCTAATTTACAAGAATTTTTATTCGAATATGCAAATTTCCGTTTAATTTGTATGCTTCTTCATGTAATTCAAAATTTAAATTTCTAATTAACTTATAAAATGCCAATAGTTTATTGTTTTTTTTGTTTTCGTCATTTACGTGTCTCTCTGATTCCTGCTATCGTGTATGGCGTGAGACGAAAGTTTCTATCGCCAATGGCAGTGATGAGAAGAAGCATGATGATTCACTCTCTCACAACAACGTCATCAGTGTTGCTGATCTTTGGTTCTCCGTCATTAAAAACGTTTAATTATTTATATTTTATTGAGAATCTTCTTGAAACATTTAATCCGAAATTTGCATAACTTCAGAAATAAAAAAATGGAAGAGAAGGAAATAATAAAAAGAAATTGGAATGCAAATCAACCTATAAAAGTAGCCATTAAATGTATAATTAAGAAGATTATAAACTGTTCTTTAAAATAATTCTAATCTCTACTAGAATATCCAAAACAAACTTTTGTATAAAGAGAAAAGGAAAGGAGGTGGATGAAGAGAATGCAAGAGAGAGGGAGAGAGTGCGTATGAAAAGATGAATGTGAAAAACTTTTTTTATCATTTACACTCCTTTGTCGTGGGCATAAGTTCATGCAGACATTTATGTTCTTAGCCGATGATTCACAATCGACTCAATGATCACGGATGCCCTTTTGATAGTTTTGGCGCATTTCTGCTAGTTTTTATGTTTTATATGTGTTTGTAACCTTTCTTACCGCCTTTTTTTCAAAGAAAACATGCAATGAGAGTAGTTATACATGTGATTCTCTCTCTCTTTCTCTCCCTCTCTTCACGCTTCCTTTTCATCTGCTTCATTTTGGTCTATTATTGAAAGCTTTTCATTGAATTTACAGTTCTTTCTATAATATGCATTGACACACACAAAAAACCTTCTGAATGCTTCTGTTGCAAACACTTTAAAAATTCAATCAGACTGTATTTATATTTAACCAGACTTTTTGATTATGACTCGTTTCCTATTTTTATTTGAAAAAAAAGAGATAAAAAGAGATAATAGAGAGTGTAGGAGGAAGGAAAGAGGGATAAAGCGAATATTATTGATGAATATAATAGAAATTGAATAAATTTAATAATCAAATAGATGATATTAAATCTGAATTGATCTTTTCCCTGTAAAGGTTGGAATAAATCAGACTGTACAGGCTTAGTATTCGTTCTTTGTACTCCTTTTTTCTTCATCATGTTGTTGAGGCGTTGAGGCTTCTTCTTTCTATTTCATAATGGCTTCATTGAAGCTCAAATTTTTTTGTTAAAAATATGAAAAACGCAATTTTTATATTATTATTAATAATGTTTAATTATATTTATTATGTATGGTCGCAAATTCATTGTCATTCGCTCTATATCTTCGGTCTTGAAGCTGCGTTGAAATTTGCTTTCCCCTCTCCCTCACGCTTCTTCTATAAATAATCTTATTACAGTATATTGAAATATAATTATTTGTTATTAAATTAGTCTTCAAATCTTTATCATATCATTTGACGTAGTTGACAACTTAACACACTTGATCTTCCATATGGAAATCCACGTGATGAGGATGCGTGAAACTTCACATGAACTCTCATTTCAATCAGATGTTCGATGTGAGAAACAGTCGCTTCTCAGTTCATCCGCTTTAACATAAAGCCTTCTAAAAAAAAATATTTTTGAAAAAAAGTTCATTTTTTTCGTCACTATCAGCTATTTTTTGTTCTTTCGTTTTGCTTTTTTTCTTTCTTCCGCTCTTTCTTCGTCTTCATACAAGAAAAGGGAAATAATTTCTTTTTTTTTGTCTTAAGAAACGGAAGACACAACTTATTGTTGCGAATTCCTCTGAAAATGATGAAAAGAACAATACACTTCTTTTCCATTTTCATGCATTCCCACATCCTAAGCCTGAAGATGATTAAGCCTAATTGAGAATGCACAAGCTCATATCATATTCCCACGTTGATTATGTGACCATCCACGAGTTATGTCCCTCATTTTAATTTTTCAAGTATCAAACATGAAGATGAGGACATGTAAGTAGAGTCTTTAGAAACCATCACATGTGTATAAGTGTGTCTGTATTGAGCAATATCGTTTATGTAAATGCATAACCACTGAACTTATGTGAATAGATGGATAGGATATGAGAGGAAGAGAGAGAGAGAAAGTGGAACTCCTTACAATGACATCAAGAGAGTGAGTATATGTTATCGTTATCACCATATCGTATAGTTTCTGTATATTTGATTACTATAGAGAGAGCGAGAGAGAGACAGTTAATCTTTTATATTTAAATATTAAATTTTCTAAAGCTTTTATAACATAATTATACTTACTTTAACAATAACATGAAATTACATTTATAATATTCAATTATTTTACTTGAATAATAATGAAAATATAATTTTCCTAAATGTTTTTCTCTTAATCAGTCCTCTATTTCTGCTGACAATTGAGTTCATTAAGCTTCTCCTTCTTGTATATTTTTTTTTCTTTCTAAAATAACTCAGTTAATTACGTGGGTAATAACATCGTCTATATCTTGATTGCTTCAAAATGGCCAGATCAACAATTTTTTTCTTTTTAACTCATCCAATTATTCCCGTCCAACTACAATTTCTACTTTTCAATTTTCAGCAAAAGATCATTTTGTGCCTCTTAAACGTTCATTTCGTTCTTTCCGTTTGTGTCTTAATTAATTAATTGTTCGCTTTCTCATTTACCCATTCCATAGATGCTTTATTGGGTGATGTATGGAAGGGGAAGAGGAGGGAGAGTAGAACTGTAGAAGTAGGTGGGATGAAGCCGACGTGAGGTAGATGATGATGTTCAGAACTTCTTATTTGAAGAACAGATTAAATTAATCTCCTCAAAGGATTTATAATATCCAAAAACAGCAAAAAAAGGAAGGAATGTTGAAATTTCATATGTATTTTACAATAAAAATTGCTGTTTACACGATCAAATATCATCACGTTGAGCTATGTAGATATCACTCTTTCATCAAAAAAGATTTTCTTTTCAATCGTTCGGATTATCCGAGATTTTTTTTTCTTTTAACTCCGATTGATATCATTGAATGTAAGATAGTTGAACGATAAACGGATTCCATTTGATCAAACGGATTGTGACTGATTTTCCTCATCAACACTGCTTCTGCAAGGTTTATGTGGCTTTCTTGGAAACCATTCGCTCTTATCTCTCTCACATCCTAACCCACTATCACGCGTTGTATTTTGGAATCTCACTATATCAATATTCCTTTTTTCTTTTTTTCTCACTCTCTCCTGTATTGTATCTGTATTTATTTTGTTTGAAACCACAGACGTCTTATCAATCTCTTGATGAAGCTACTGACTGATATAAAGCTATTTTAGCAATTATCTTTATCAGTATACATTTCCTTTTGTACTCTATATCGTTGAGATTCTTTCAATTTTTTTTGTCATCCATCCTTTTCTCATGTTTATTTACTCATTTTCATTCATAATAATAACAATTCTTATTCTTTCTTTCAAGGAAGCAAGTGGATCTAATGCGAATTTTCAACACAGTTCCTCCACCTATGGACGCGGAAAAAGATTCTTTGAAACGAAGTAACCAAGGTGCAATTACGGGAATATCTGAGGTATTTTGAAAAATATATTCTTTCATATTCTTATGTATATATATATACATATTATCATTCTATGCTATATGACGTTCTCTTAAAACACATCACACGAAAGATTATGAGAGAAAAAAATAAATTTGAATGCATAAACGAGAGATTAACTCAAGAAGCCGTCAGTGTTGATGAGTATTCTGCTGATCTAATCCTAATGTAGGCATCTTTCCTAATCCCTCATGTCTTATCTCTTTAGAGAACATTAAAAGACATCCTACATAGGAAATCCGTGTGAACTCCTGATAGATTATATTTGCATTCATTACACTTTATATTCACTCTCTTCCAAATTATTCACATAATTGTTGTTGTAACGGTACATCTGTACTATACTCTCGTCTCATTCAATACGTATTTCCCCAGAAACTGAACCACTTTTTGAGTTATGATCTAATGAAATGAGTTTCTGTAATTAAACCATTTGTTGCGAACAATGCTCCATAGCTAATTAGTACGCTCCACTTACAAAAAGATGTAAAAGGAGAGGGGAAGTACCTTTGCGATGTTTTTGCAGTTTCAATTTATTGACATATTAACTTACGAATACTCTTTTTTATGTTATCAATTATGAGCAGTCAAAAGATAAAACTTTAATTGAAGTATTAAAAATGAATCTACAAAATATATTTTCTTGTATTTCACATATCATCACACAATCTTATCTACTGAGAGCAATCTATATGAATCGCTGTTTGAAATGTAAAAAACGTTCATGTTTGATTACAGCTTGTCTTCTCTTCAATTCTCTATAAGTGATTTCAATCTTTTGCATATATATTTGCTCATCACTTTATTTTTTATCATTTCTAATCGTATTTCAATTTGATTAGATATCATTTTCATTACTTTATCAGCTATTTGATGTGATTTAATGTTTATGAAAGATAAATATATTTTTTATCATTTTCTATCTATAAACTTTATGTTCTCTATCATGTCAATCATATGTCATTTTTTATACTTCATCTATTGATTTCAGAACATATATGGCATTGTAGGGTCTGACGAAATTTTATTTTTCATTAATATTCATCTCAAAACATCAATTTGATAATAACGAATTTTATGACTTACAATGTTTGTTCTTATCTTCCCCCATCTGTATTACTCATGCTTTGTTATGAATTCTCAACAAAAAAACACCACTTATCGTTCTTATGCATTGATTCGTATATGGCTGCATAATACGTTAAGCCTTACAGTTACCAAATCTCTCGATTTCAAAGATAAAACTGACTTATACATTTATAATCTTCGACTATTTCTCTAATTATAATATCAACTTACAAATTGATGGCGTCAGTATTAGCGTAAACATCATTCATAAGAATCTCCACAATTTGCATAAATCTTCACGTGATTCGATCATTTCATGCTTCTGTGCGCGCACCGAACGGTTGCATTTCTTGTCCGATTTCTATTTCCTCCAAATTGTGTTAAACTTTTTTGTTGCTTTATCAATCTTCTCAAGTTTTCTACTTACGTACTCTCATAAATAACATTAAGGCCCTTGATAAGTAAAGTCAACAATGAGGCGTTGTGTTCTTTTGAATTTTAATTTCAAAACTTTCTTGTCAATCAGTGACAGTTCTCGTGGTCAGTCAGCAAGATATCATCCCAAAGATACAGTTCTCCGATAAGAATAAGCAACCGTTGACGATAGACTGATTATTTGAAAAATTCATGAAATTTAATAAATGAAAAATGCTATTCATTCAAAGACTTGACTTAAATCAGGCAGTAATGCAATATATTAAGAAATTCTTTATAATCAAATGAATTACACAATTTTAAATGAAATGAACCGTGATCATTTCACTGTTCACATTCTAACTATTTGTCTTTATAGGAGCCTTTGAAAAAGAAATCGTTACCCAACTACAATAATCCCATGCAGGGCATTACGCTTACTCCTCAGCAGCAACAACAGATTCTCCAGCAGCAAGCTTTACAAGGTATTTTTTCATCTATTATCTTTCTCTTTTGGATGTGTTTGCTAAGATCGTCTCAAATATGAAAATTTATTTTTCAGCAGCCGCTCTTAGTGGTAGACAAATACAGGCCACCCCTGGCCCCATGGGCTTTTCTCTCAATCATATCCCTCAAACGGCTCCAATTCATTTAACACCTAATCATCCTTTATATGCTCATTATGAAAAACAATTGTTACAACAACATCGTCAGCAGCAACAACAACAGCAGCAACAGTTTCAAGCCCAAGCTCAAGCCCAAGCTCAAGCTCAAGCTCAAGCTCAAGCTCAGCTTTTATCTCGTGCTCAATCTACAGTTGTTGCTCCTCAGGCAATTAAAGCTCACGCTGACACTCAAGCAAAGTTTTTGGCAGTTCAGAACTCAAATATTCCATTATCTGTGAACGAGGTGAGTCCTTATTTGTCTATATATCACGATTTCATGATACATTTATCAGCTAACCATGCGACAACTGGAAATGAACCAGATGGATTTGACACACCTGATTGGCTTGCAACAGCAGGTAGTTTCTGCAAGCTTCATCTAATTCAGTGAATAATTATTCAGCAACTCGCAAAAAATCCAAATATATCTCAAGCTGAACATCTCGCTCTTCTGGAACAGTTACGTCTACATCAGCACCAGCAACAAGTTCAAGCTGTCCGGCTTGGACAAGTACAGGCTGTACACGCAGCTCAAGCAGCACAAGCGGCGCAAGCAGCTCAGGCAGCGCAAGGACAGCAGCAACCCGGAAGCCGGCGAGGAAGTATTTCTGTTCCAGTTTCGGTTAGTATTTCATAGTAAACAAGAATTACATTATTTTACAGATACCTGCGACAGCTATTAATTCTCCCCTTATGAGAGGAAATATGAATGGTAACGTCATGCCGCCAGTTACCAGCTCGCTGTTGCTAAGTCAGCAACAGCAGCAATTTCTTCAGCAACAGCTGGCTCAGCAACGCCAAGTAGCTCAAGCTCAAGCTGCCCAAGTAGTTCAAGCAGCTCAAGCTGCTCAAGTAGTACAAGCAGCTCACGCTGCACATGCAGCTCAAGTTGCTCAAATTGCTCAAGCCACACAAGCAACACAATGTGGTCCGACTGTACAAGCAGCTCAAGCTGCTGCCAATGCGAATGCAGTCGCTCAGTTACAAGCATCTATAGCCTTTTCACAAGCACAACACGTTGGAGTTGTTAGTTCTTCCGCATCACCTCCTACTAAACCTTCCATCATATCCCCTTCTGTTCTTCAACTTCAAGGCCAGACCTCACCTCGAGCGCCTCAGGTTCATCTACAAAAGCCTCAAGGACAAACAGTTCAACAAGTTTCTGTACAAGGATCGCCATCGACAATGTCTCCAACTCAGAACTCCTTAACATGCCAACCTCAGCCTTCTTTGACGGTGTCCCAAGGTTTAAATGGTCCTCAAGTTATGTTATCTGGTCCTGTTCTTCAAGCTTTTCTGCATCAAGTACAGGAATATCATGCTCAAGTAGCAGCAGAGTTGAACTCAGGCTCCCAAGGATTAAGTAACTCAAAATGATTCATTCAATGAGGCTCTACTATTCCTGATAGCTCAACCTCTATAGAGGAAAATGTTTTTTTATTTCAAGAGATTTTACACCAGAAACATAGGAGGATATAAGATTCAAAGGAACATATCAAAACCACCTATGCTCGATGAGCTGGTGACGACAGTGATATTTGAGCAAAATCATCCTGTCTTACCCATTCTCAACGAAATTCGAAAAAAATAGAAAATTATTTCTTCCATTTTGGGAATTGAGTATGATCTCTTCTGTGATCTCGATCTTACGGTTGTTAATCCCAGTCTTTGCCAACTATCCTTCTTTTTTCTAGAACGTTTCCTAGCTCGAAGAATAATTTCTAGTTCGATAAGCAGATTTACGTTTTTTGTTTCGCTTATTGAATTGATTTGCTTTCAAATTATCTACGATTCATAATGTGAATTGTTAAATATTATTTCCGCAAGCTCTTGTTTATAATTTATTTATTCATCATGTATGTACGTTCCATTTTTTGTAAATTGAATAAAAATAATTCTTTTTCCTGTTTTCTTTTCATTCGACTTATTACTTCAAAGAGCTTTTTAGATATTCGATTTACCTTGTACCTAATTAATAATTGAGTTGATTCTCTCGAGTGCGCCAAGCTAATAGAGCTTTTGATTCGATTATCATGACAATTCGATTTGGTTTTTGAGTGATTTCTGTAATTTGTCATGATTATGTTAATATACATTCAAAGATATTCAAAGAGCAATTTGCTTCGATTTTTGAAGACTTCGTTCGAAATACGCAGACAATCATCATTTTCTCGTGTTTTTCCGTCAGTTTATGATATATTTATCAGAATATGGTCTCCACCCCATTCCAAAAACTATACATTGCATCTGTCTAGAACTATTTATAAATCATGTTTTTTTTAAATCTCTATTCAAATAAAAGATATACTTACTCAAGCACGTTTTCAGATGAAATAATGGACTTCACTAGACAATGTTTTCCAACAGTCTATTTATAACGAATAATCAGTTTCTAAACTACCACAACTCTCTAACCATATAAATATTAACTGCTGTCCTTCATACCGACTTGGAGCATTTCAACCGTACCCACGTGAGCATTTTCAACATTTGTCTACTACAGCTCACGCACTTCTTTGCTCTCCCTTGTGAATACTAATTTTTCAGATCAGTCCAGTTCTGCGTTACGTATATGTCGTTCAATTATGAATGGATTCCTCATTTAATATATATGATACTTTACGTTGTATCAACTCCTATCTATATTACAGTTATAAGGATTGTAGTGGAAAAGAGAACCACTTCCAAGTTTTTCCAAACTCCATTCTATTCTTTAATTCTCTCGCAGGTTCTTCGGCTTTCTTTTCATGACTGTTTAGTTTTCAAGGGAATATCTGATTTAATCGGAACCACAATTTATCTTATTTTTGCATCCTTGCGACTGTTTCCATTTGTTTCGGCATTTTTCTATGAATATCGGCAATGGTACTTCCCTCAAATCCATCAGAAGCACATTTTTCTTTTCTTAAACATACGGTGTACAGGATATGTGCTGATTGCTTGTCAACGTTGTGTGGCGATATGTTACTCAGCAAGTCCCCTTGACAAGGTACCTTGATTTACTTTAAACTTAACTATGCGAAATTCAAGTGGGTAATTCGTCTTCCACCACAAGTGTTGATGTTATCTCATGCGTTAATAGGTACCATCTTTAGTTTGCCAGTTTTATTAGGATATGGTGTTGAATACTCGTTGATAAATGGGATTGTTGAAATAGTTCAGCCTCCAGAAATGCTTCAGGCATGTAAATAGCTACTGCTACTTTCAAATTCTCTTTCAGCTGGCTCAGGTGGTTGCCATCATTACTTTATCTACATTTGAAGTAATATGCGCAGTATCATACATTAAAATAATATTCTACTTGAGACAGCAAAAACTTATTTTACGTAATCAGTATGTTTAACAGAAAAAAGCTTTAATTATTTCCTATATCAACAGAAATCGAAGATCGGAACAACAGCTAACAATACAAGCAGCCATCTTGACTCTAGGCTTGATCGCCTACTTCACTTATCATGTTATCGTGTTCATTGGCGGAAAAACATCCAATGTAAACTTTTCCGATTTCTGTTCTACTTTTGAAACTTCAGATGATCCTCATTCATTCTGCCCGCAGGGTATATCCTCCATTAGTAGCCTTTGGGGTGTATATAACTCCTTGGACACTGGTAGCTATGAACCAAGACATAAAAAAACCTCTCATGGGTGTTCTTCGATACGGGAGATTGCAGATAGAATGATTTCTTAGAATTCTTTCTTATAGTTTTAATGTTTAGCTTCAAGAATAAACCGCACCACAAAAAACAACATGAAATGGGAGGGGTCCTTAGATAAATGTAATCACATGCATCATACACAGAAACAAACATTAAACGAGTATAGAGTTCCTATTTTTTCAAAATAATTATGAGTATATAAAATTAAAATTTGATATCACTGGACCTGATGTAAAACTGGGGTGCAAGAACGGAGAATTCGAATAAACGTGAGACGCAAACTTATCTTACTGATTGGACAATATATATTCAACTTTAAAGAAGAGCCAATTACGCTTTAGTTAAGTGTTTCTAACAGATCTGCTATTTTTTCAACAGATCGCCACCCATTACTTTTCTTTGCCTGAAGAAAACAGAAAGTAAAACTGAATAGCAAAATTACGCACCGAGATCTTCATAAATTCCAAGAATCGATGCAATTGTTCAATTACTATAGAAAGTGATTTGTTTGGTAAATGTTCTTTGACCAAGTCCACGTACTCCTGGAATATATGTAAGTTAAAGAACTATTCACATCACAACCTCATTCTGCTGTAAAAGGCATCCGATGAGAAGAGCCAAATATGATGCGGCGACACTGTCTTCCATATGGGAGCTAGCCTTAATTACGTATTGGTTATATAAAGTTTTGAGGTAGTTCAGACCTTATTCATGGCATTTTGAACAGCATGAAGCATTTCAAATTCGTTCATATCATCGAACTTCCCTCTGTCAAGCTTTCCTGAATTTTCAGGTTCATCGTTTGTTTCTTCTTCCGAATCCTCTGTTCCCTCCTGAACAATAAAATAAAAAAAAGCCGTATTATTCAAGCTACCTCAAAGGCAAGATCTTGATCTAATTCTTCATCGACCACACGTGCTTTTGATTCATGGATGCAAAACAACTATAAGCATTGTTGTTACATGGCTGATAAAATTATAATTACTTTAGTCAGCGCATCTAGACCATTAGACTCGAGTGCTTCACCATCTTCCAGGTGAACTTTCACAGTAGAATCGATTACTTTACGCCGATTGGCATCACATCTTTCAACCAAATTAACGAGCAACGAACAGCACTATAAAGAAACGGTAGCGATAAGGAAAGATTAGAATTATACGAATCTTACCAGAACATTCACGTCGAACTTCTTATCTTCCTCTCCAAACTTCCGAGCCAAATAAGTCGTAGATGATAAGCACAAAGACAGGAATCCTGGCATTTGGCCAAGTTTAGTCGAACACAGTTCTTAATAATCGAACGTTAAAAAGAGAATAAAACGGAATGTGTAACCATTCTCATGTGACATGTTAATAAGGACCCTTGTCATTAGAGCTAAGGTAGCCATAAAGCGATTTGTCAATTTAGAATCGTTTGCTTTCGCTTCGATCGAGGAATGGATAACAGGAAGAAGTCTAGAATCAGATATCATTTTTAACTATCCCTGTATATAGAGCGGTTGCATCTCCAAAAGTGTAACTCACTTTCCACATGTCTGAATGAGTACACTTGCTCTGTGCGAAACCAGGAAAGCTTGATTTTTTTTGTGAAGAAAAGTAGACTGAACATTGAAAAGATTAAAATTGAGTTTTCAAAAATGATCAAACCGTTTCGAGGATGCGGAAACATCTTTCTAGTATTATTAGACAGGAGTCAATTTCTTGGTTCAAATTCTTGTCATGTATAAGCCGTAATACAACTTTCTCTACTAAAGTAGAAAAAAGAATTGGATGATAATACGATACACCCACCTTTAGCAACAACCCATGGTAAAGCACCCAAATTAAGCAGTTCCGTTTTAAATCCTTCAGTTGGTGAACGAGACAAAACAAAAACCAAAGCCTCCATCACCAGAAAAGATGGCTGAACGAGAATTATTTAATAAACTCAGTTCAAACGAAAAAATAACCGAAATATTTTCAAATGTTATATCAAATACAACTTTTTTTCCGAGAGACTCCATTTTCTTTAAATATTCTTCGAAGACTCCCCAAACCTGAGTGGATAACTTTTTGGTATAGATAATAGCGTTCGATAGGTTACCATTTTTTTGTATTTCTCTTGCTCTGAGTTGTCTTCGATTTTTTCAATCCGTAAAAGTTGGCAAACAAGGCGTAATGATTGAGAATCTACAGGGAATGGAATAAAATCTCTCGACATTAAGTATATGATAGTTGCAGCGCAAATAGCAAAGTTCTGAAGAAAGAAGGATTTGAGGCAACAGAGCTGATAAATCATACTTGATCAGATGGAGCTTCACCCATATTTTTAAAAATAGCTGCAACTTGACCTTCACTCCTAATGAACTGTCGAAATTCTGATGATACGCACTTTTTTGCCAATGAGAGCGCACTGAAATAAGTTCTCCATTGAGAAGAATCTATTGATGTACCTAAGGCATTTGATGTTCAAAGATGAGTCTGCTTTCATTGTACTCATGATATATTCCAAGTCTTGTTTAAAGTCATCATGTTCCCCTGATTCTAAACACTGATGAGCGTCTTTGACATTTCGAACTCGTGAAGATCCTTCTCGTGAATATACTGGAGCTCCCCTCTATAAACAACATGGATAACTCATTCAAGTTATAAGTTCTTACACTGAGTGGTTTGGATTGTTGTTGTTTACCAAATACAGTTACAGAACTGGAATTTGACCTATAAACTGACGTCTGACCAGAAGTACGAGCAGGAGGCTTCATCTCTTCTTCTTCATCATCTAACTCCGTCCATTTATGATTATAAACAGGTCTAGATGATTTTTGAGCAAAAAACTTTCCAGCATTTGTTGGAGCTAAATCAAAGATGGTTTCTTGAATGAAGTTTCACAACACCTTCGTCTTCTGTCTTGGCTTTTTTTGGCAAAGGTAAATCATCATCCTCATCAAAGTCGAATGGATTACTGCTTTTCTCATTTACAATAGAAGATATACTTTTGTGACTATAACAGAGTTGACTAGTTGAACATAGTAAAATATGACCTACCTATCTGAAGCTGTTGTGAACATTTTGCTACTGCATGGCTTTTCAAATAATGGCGAGTAATCTTGTTCTGTATCACTACAGTCCAGGTTCTAATTATATGAAATTCTTTGAACGTATAAAACTGTTTCAAACCGAATCAGGTTCAACAGCTCCGCCATCTGTGGAAGTGCTCTCGGGTAAACTGATAGGCGGAGAAAACACCTGAGGTGGGGATGTTCTTCTGATATTTGTGGTGTCCGAAACTTAATAACCGTTCATTTATCACACTCAGAAAAATTTGATACCTGATGGTAACAAAGAATCATCGGGTAACTGCGAATAAACGCGACTTGTGATTAGCGATCGCTCTGGCTTACGTTTAGATTCTCTATATGAACTTCTATAGTAACTTTACTCATAAAAAACTAACGGTCCAGAGAATGCTGCGTCGAACAAAGACGATGCCTTCGATGTACTCGAAAACTCCCCATATTTCCGAACTTTTCTTTGACCAGAACTAGTGGAGGACATTCCTTCAAATCAAGAAAATCAATGGACTAAACTGCTCGAATTAAAATGAAATTAGCTTTAGCAGAATACAAGCTTGTTCAAGTTTTGAGTTTCTAATTACTACGAAAAGTCAGTTCCATAATTTTGATTTGAATAATTTCAGCCATTATTCCCTTCTACTGGATGTATGCCAGACCCATTATACCGTATGATTTTTCCTAGCGAGACTTTTTCTTTCGCTTGGCAGTATGCCAAGTGGGCGGGGTTTATTTTCCCGCGCTTTTGGAGGGACGCTCTTATTCCCAAGCATTTGGATTTCTTGTGATATAATGGGTACTGTCTGTTATGTCTGCTCTCTAAATCTTGTTATATATTTGGTGGATAATTTCTTATTCTTTTTTTTTAAGGTTTGACTAACAAAATGGCTGGTGGAAAAGGAAAAGCCGGGAAGGATTCTGGAAAATCCAAATCTAAGGTTATTTCTCGTAGTGCTAGGGCTGGACTTCAATTCCCTGTAGGAAGAATTCATCGTTTTCTTAAACAAAGAACAACCTCTCATGGTCGTGTAGGAGCTACTGCTGCAGTCTACAGGTAATTTTTTGGAAAAGAATCTCATTTAATATTCGTTTTTTAAAGTGCTGCTATTCTTGAATATCTCACCGCCGAAGTGCTAGAGCTTGCTGGTAATGCCTCTAAAGATTTGAAGGTGAAAAGAATCACACCAAGACATCTTCACCTTGCCATTCGCGGAGATGAAGAATTGGATACTCTCATTAAGGCTACCATCGCTGGAGGAGGTAAGCTGTTGATTCGTTTTGAACAAATACTAAATAATATTGTCTTAAGGAGTTATTCCTCACATTCACCGTTATTTGATGAACAAGAAGGGACAACAACCAGGACAACCAGCACAAAAGGCTTAATTTACTATTTAATCGTTATTGTATATTCATTACTGCCTTTAATCATTCTTCAACTTTTAATATTCAATATTCACTAATTATCCATGTCTCTAAGTTTTACTTCTCACTCTTATGAGGATAAATAAATGATCTCGAGTATGACTTGTATTGTTTGGTTTATTATTCACTGTTCAGTGTTGACGATAGTGCGTGCCAGTATTGATTTTTTCGGCTGGCGTTGCATTAATGTAGAAATTCTCCACTGAAGAACGGTTGCGTTCCTGCTGTGCGATTGCCTCTTTGAGCTTACCTGTGCTCCATTAGACAATGTGTATTTTTTTATGATTTTTTATGTGTGTATTGGGATGATTCATCTAATACAACATTAATCTTTTTTCTCGAGTCAATGTTTCGTACGCGTTGAAACCGTGCTGCGTTGCTACGCTTTACCTGAAATTAATGATACACAATGTTTTGAAAAGCACTCTTATAATTTTGCTGTCCTTAGTATATTTATTTTTAAGTAGATGGCCCCAAGGGATGTACCGTCTACAACAAATGGTGACGTTACGGAAAGTAAGCCTATGAAGAATAAACCTAAAGGTTACCATCTACTTGCAAAATAATGAATTAATATTTTTCTCTCAGCGAGTAAGTTAAGACAACAGAAACTACCAGCTTGGCAGCCTATACTAACTGCTCCTACTGTAATACCTACTGTCGTTTTTATTGGGATTGTTTTCATTCCGATTGGAATAGCACTCTTCTTAGCTTCTGAATCAGGTTTTCATCATTAATCTGCCTATAGTAAAGAATTCATGTTATAGTTCACGAATATAAAATAGATTATACTGATTGTTCTCAAGAGACATGTACATTTACCTTAGATGTAAAAGAGGATATGAAGGTATGTCAGTTCTTCATTAGTTGATTAGTCAACAACGTTAACAGGGGGATGTTTATATTTACTACGCGCTAGAAAACTTCTATCAGAATCATAGAAGATATGTTAAAAGCCGAAATGATAAACAATATCTGGGTAATCTCGATGTAAGTCCAAACTTCAAGCTTGCATACTTTATCTTCTATCTTTAGCAAGTATCCGACTGTGAGCCGTATGACAAAGGAATGTTGAACGGAGTTCAGGTCCCAATCGCTCCTTGTGGAGCTATTGCTAATTCTATTTTTAACGGTACGTCTGTACTTTTTATGTTTACAACTTTTTTTAAAGATACTTTCGGTATAAAGAAATCAGCATTGATTGATGTCCCCACGACGACCGAAGGGGTAAGTCATTAAAGTGATTTCTCTTCAATTGTTGCTATGTTAGGTACTATGGGACATTGATTTCACTAAAAAGTTTAAAAATCCACCTGTTGGTCCTGGTGAAACTCTCTGTAGTGCCTTCAAGGTACACAATGACATGGAGAATCTTTTAGATAAATCTTTCTTACAGGGAACAGTACGACCTCCCAATTGGAGCAAAGACATTTGTGAACTAGGAGGTTTCTTGAATGTAGATTTTATTGTTTGGATGAGGACTGCTGCTCTCCCGAACTTCAGAAAGCTGTGGAGATTAGTTGATAGGTAAATTCAAAACCCAACTCCATACCAAAGATCTTGTGATAGAACAAAATCTGGATTCACGGATGGTTTATCAAAAGGACAGTATCAAGTTCAAATCAACAACAGTCAGTTTCTTTTTTTTAACTCTATGTATGTTGAATTGTTTGAAGATTATCCTGTTACCGCCTTTGGTGGACGTAAACAGTTTATAATTTCAACAACCAGTTGGGCAGGAGGAAAGAACAGTTTCTTGGGAATAGCATACTTGGTAGTTGGCTCCATAGCCATTGCTCTTGCCGTAATATTCTTCATAATCCACATGAAGTTCGGTCATTCGTAAGTTAATCTTTTTTTTCCTATAATTGATACTTGTTGCTTGTAGGGTTAATGAGCTGAGCAACGTTGGGCCTGTACAATAAATAAAAATGAACACTATTTTTGATGACTTCTGTGATTTTTGTCTTACTGGTCTCATGAACTTGTGAATTTTGAGTGCCTTCATGAGCATCTTATTTGAATAAACTCTTTTTCACAATTATGTTTAAGCAAAAAAATTTGATGTTTACTCATCGATTTCATATTTTTTCATGTTTTCTGATTTATTTGGCAGAAACCTTGGACCTCTGCCACTAGGTCTTCGAGCCGCATTTAATCGATATTAGCACGCGAACGCATTGCATTTGTTTCTGCCATGCTGACGGCCAGCGTTTTAAGTTCTTTTGTCTCCAACAATTGTTTTCTTTTTGTTTTCGGAAAATGTTTTTTGCTCATTTCGTTTTGTAAACTTCGACTTTTGTTTACGACACTCTCAATGTTTCTCAAATTTAACAAAGTTCAGATGTCTAAAGGAGGCCGAGGAGCTGATCTCGATTGCAAGGTTTATGTTGGTGGACTGCCTCATGATGCTACATCTCAAGAGGTATGATTTTAATGTGCTTTTTAATATAGTTTTTCCTTTTATTCAACCTTGGAATCTAATTCATATCATGAACTTTCTTACTTTTCGAAAAAATTTTATTGCGCTTTATCGATTTTTGCGCTGAGCGACTAGGATATGCGTCGTCGCTGCCAATTATGCATCAATAGCCATGACATGACAAATTAAGTATATGGTAATTCTAGATTGAAGATGCTTTTGCACGGTTTGGAAGAATAAGAAAGGTTTGGGTTGCTCGTCGACCCCCTGGATTCGCATTTGTTGAGTATGAAGATAATCGTGATGCTGAAGATGCTGTGAAAGCTATGGACGGAGCGTAGGACGGTTTTCCTCATTCGCTCAAGTTATTGTTCTTTCTAGTCGTGTATGTGGAATCCGTGCTCGTGTTGAGCTTTCTCATGGTCGCCGTCGCAACAGTGGTCGTGGTGGCTTTGGCGGAGGAGGAGGTGGACGTGGTGGATATGCTGGCGGAGGACGTGGTGGTCATCGTCGTGGAAGGTTTGCATTTTAAAATTCTTTTTTTTTTCTTCCGAGCACAACTCTATGGTGAAGAGAACATATTCAAGTCTCACGTACTCTTCAGACGATCTCAAAGTTTTGGCATGTTTTGTCCCGTTCGTTTCTTTTACGTTTGGAAAATTCAAATTTCAAACACATAGTTTTTTAGCTATTGTGAATTGGATCCCGATTCTCTCTCGCTCTTTCCCTTCTCTTCGCCTATAATGTAGTCAACTGTTCATCGTTTACGTGGTTGCTTCAAATACCTGCATCTTTCACCATCATTCATTGGAAGTATACCCAACATCACTTTCTGGAACTCTGACTTGTCATCTTCGTGATGTTCACCTTCTTCTCTTCTTTTGGTGTCCTCTGAGAACCTTATTCGACTTAAAACGCCTTAAGTCAGGTTTGTATCACATGAGGCACGTAGCTCTACCTCTTCAAAGCATGGCAAAAGGTATCTACGGTTACGAGAGAGTCTAATCGTATCTTAAAATACCTAAACGGACTACAGTCAACACACTCACATATTGATTTAGTATTCATTAACTAATATTCTCAGTAATGGTAATCTTTTAAGATCTCGCTCTCAATCACGGTCTCGAAGCAGATCACCACCTCGTCGCACAAGATCTCGTTCTCCAGACTACAGAAGTCGCAGCAGGTGAGAAATGTTTTTTTCAAGTTCTAAGCAAATAAACTATTCAGAAGTCGCAGCCGCAGCCGTTCTTAATTATATCGTGTGTACACTTATGGTTGCTTGGAAGCTTTTCATACCAAGACGTATGATTCGTATTATGCTAATTGAACTTACAATTCCCTTCGCATTTGCGTGTTACCTTTCCACTATTTGTACAATAAACTTTTTTATCTCCTATTTAATATTCGTCATTACCTCTATATTGAGAAATTGAAGATGTTAGAGAAGCATCATTCATTTTATGGCTTTCTCTTATCTTTTTTACCATTGGTTGGTCTCAGTACCAGCACTTGTACGTACAAGCTATGAAACTTCCAATCTTAGCCGGTATGTTATTTTTTTTGTGATGGTTTCGGAATTAGTTCCACTGGTTTCAACATACCGGTAACCCTGTTTGTTTAGCTTGCCTTGTGGCCATCGCTCTATGCCAAAGAGGTGGTACAGATGAATGTGATGATCCTCGTTTCAATTCGTGCAACGCCAGCTTGGGCAAATTCTGGAAGACAGAGTAAGACTTTTCGTGTTCTCCTGAGTATTGCTTGATTCCTTCCAGCACCTCTATGATTTGGAAAAATATCCAATACATGTCGGATACAATTCGCTCTTTAATGACCATGCCTTATCAAATCGATAACTATGTTAATATTTGCAAGTAGGTTCAATTACTCAGTCCTTAAAAGAATTTCATCGTCATAACTGTTGAAAAGGTAATTACGGTATCTGACACTGTACGTTTCAGCGGTTTCTCGCTTTTCTACTCTTGCTTGGGACAAGACAACATCAATAAGTGTTTAGGAACATTAGGATTTGTAGGCTCCCAGAAGTCACCTTATGTAAGTCCGTTTTTATGGTTTTATGTTATGATGAGAGATGAATGAGGTGTGGGGAGCTAGGGACGGCTATCTAATACAGGGGCTATTTTCTTTTGTTCAACCGCGACACGACCTCTCTTGCGCCATCATTGGCAGACGCAAGTACTTTTTCAATTGTGTAATGAAGACCATAGAGAAACATAACTTGACAAACTAGTGTAAACGAATGGGTTATGAGAGTTGTGTTACGCGGTTCTCATTAGATTGCTTGTTCATGCATAAGTACTAATGAGAAAAATACGAAAAATTAACTGTTAATCTCATAATTGAAGGATGCCTATGTATATGAAGGATTTTTGGCAGATTGGAGATTCAAATGTGGAGCTGGATTCTATAGTATACTCATTGTTTCTCATATAATCTTAACATGATCTCTTAAAGCCGTTTCTGCTAACCTTGGATTGGCTAACTGCACCCAAAACACCTATATTAACCGTGAAGTCGATATGCAGAAGTGCTTCACACCTTACGGTCAAAACGCGAACACTGATCCAGCCAATGCATGCACGTAATCATCTATAGTCCAATTCTTCAAAAGCAAACTGAAAAACTTTGAGATATGCCCAGACTTTGATGGATTGTGTAGCTGATGTGTATGGAAATGGTCCTTGCCGTTCAGTTGATCGAGTAGGTTATTTTTAGTGTTTTGAAAGAAACCATAGCCAAGCTTGGTTTTTGATTTGACCAGCTGTTGCATGGCATTTTGCCAGCTCACCCTAGAAACAGCAAAATTACTCTTTGTAGGGTACGGCCAGATGGTATGGATGTCAGTCCCTTCGTGAATATACTAACGCTCAATTCTCACATTGCCAGCATGTCACCTCATGTAAAGGTAAGCAGATAACGTCAGCGTAAAACTTCGATTCCAATTCGAAAATGCGTGAATCAGTTTTATTTAGTCAAGCTATTTTTTATTTTTTATATATAACATAAGAATAATGAGGCAGGTAAAGTAATAACTAGGTCATCCTTCATAAAAGAAGCCTGCTGTGTTCACAAAAATTTAGGTCAGCACACAGCTTGCCTAAAATTCTAAAGGGACCTAATGTAAATCCCAAAGAAATCGTAAATTAGTTTGATATACCCAATGACTCAACCAACTTTAAAAGCCTGATAACGGAGGCTCTGACTAAATTTCAACTTTTTCATTTGAAACAGTAACTGTGTAACCCATTTTCCAGACATTGCTATAACTGAGATGCTCACTGAAGAATACCTCCAAAGTGGAGATGGATTGTGGGTGGAAAACAACCAATGATCTGTTTTTCAATAAAATTGTTCATGATTTGTATTAGATGAGATTCTACATATTCAATCTCAGTATAATAAAAACTTTTTATTAAAACACTTTTTCACTAGTACACAATTAGAAGTGTAATTTGAACCATTGACCTTGGAGCATGCGTGCTTCACCGGCAGCCTTAAATTGTCAATTAATGTAGTGAAGATACTTTTCTGCAGCTTACGTTGTAGGTCATATCTGGAACTCTGGCCCAATGCTCTCCATTTTCGAATTTGTAATGTTTCTCCATGTGAGCTACCAAGAAACTGTATTGGAAGGCTGCTGAAAACCAAAGAATCATTTTGAAAAATTCAAATACTACTAACGGTCGCAATCGACTCCACAATTTGGAAACTCGGTTTTGCCAAAAACGTTATTGAATTCGCAAGCCCACCAGAGATATGAGTTATCTGTTGGTCGGCATGGAGCCGTTTTGAATGGAACTGACCAGCAGTTGATCAATTGTTGAATGTAACTAAGAAGAAAACCGTTATGGATAGGGAACATTAAATATTTTTCACTTGCAAGCTCCTGGGCTATCCAATGTGACCGCTGTGTTATAAGAGGCTGTGCACTGTTGGAAATAGTCTTGGTTAAAATGAAGTAATCTCTGGAAACACGCGAGACCCTCATGAACCAAAGCTTAAATAAATGCATTGATGAGCGCAAGAACTGACCACTTACTATTGACTCCTGGACCACAGTTGAAGCCGTTGCTGCGTAGAGTTCCTTGTGACAGGTAGGCCTGAACGAAAAACAGTACTTTATGTAAGTGAAACTGTGGCGTACATTCTGTATATCTGTTTGAGTAAGTAAGAATGACAAGCCGAGACAATCTGGATTGTTCATCATGCAAAGGTTGAAACTTTCCAAGCCGCTAAATAACACAGAATGATTTTTTAAAAAAATGGCACTGGTTTACTTGCAACCGTTGAGTATATCATCAGTGGATCCTGGGTTAAGCCCGATCTTTGTCAAGTAATAGTTATAGAGAATGGTATAGTTCTGAATGTCGTTTACAAGTTAGCTAGTTGATCAAAAGATTCACTTTGAAAAGATTTGGTGCACTTGACTCCGGTAAGCCAATGAAGGCAGCTAATTTGTTGCTACAGTGCAAAAGTCTTTGCTGGTCACATTCAGCATTTCCATTAGCTATAACTGAAACAAAAAATATGCATGTTTACTCTATTTATTTCCGATCAACTCACAAAATACAAGGACAATAACTGCAGTACGTAGAAACATATCGTCTTAAGGGCGCGGCTACACTTGTATGCTTATCTCAGTCTGTTAATGATTGGAGAACAGTTGTAAAATGAAAATCTAATAAGAGTTATTCACAAGAGGCTCAATAGACTTTTATTCATATTTGATGTACTAAGCGATAAACAGTGAACATTCAGTGATGCGATAAATGAACCTCCCATCTATTCCAAACTAAGGAAGATGCTTTGGGATTTGAATTGAATGCAACCGTTCTGTTACAACTTCATCATTTCTCTAGTGATCAAAAAGTTGCTTCTAATATTTTGATTTGAAAATTAGTTTTAAACCATCTACTAGCTTTATCTTCATGCTTCGGTCTTATACTTTCGTAAAAGTCAATTTTTCCACTGGAACGTTTGTCATCATGAATATAGAATCTGCAATTAGAGGTAGATCTTTTCCACTTATCTGTAAATAAAACATGACGAAGTTCAATGAATCACTCATTACCTTATATTTATGAACCATATTGATTAGGAAGATATAGAGTTCCATTCGTGCAAGGCCTTCACCAAGACATTGTCGTTTACCAAGTGAGAAAGGAATCAGTTCTTCAGACTACAACAACTTATACAGAAAAT